AAATATAATAATAAATATATATTATATTGTAATTATATATATTATATTATAGTATAATATAATATAGTCGTAATTTTTAACTATCCACAGCAATTCATCTTCATAATTTACTAATACTATTATATTAATTTTAGAACTAACACAACTATTATAATTATAATTTACTAAACACTTGACTACTTTTTATATCAACTATTTTTTTTTCAACACAATTAAAAGTAATTTTTTTAAAATTTACAACACTATTAAACTAAGCTGTGATCTTCTATCGATGCTACGGATTTCTTATCTTAACTCATCAAGTTTTTATACTTTTTTTTAGTTCTGATATGATTGATCTAACTTTTTTAACGATTCAAAAATATACAATATGATATTATATTGATAAAGTATTTCTTTTGGTACCCTATCGTGTACAATTCTTTTATCTTCAATTACTTGTGCCACTTATGATAAGGTAGAAGAGTGAAATGAAAGAAACTATTGGAGGAGATTATTGAATGTAAAAGTTTATTGAATTATCGAATTAGTAGCTCAGTATCTGGATACTACGAATTCGGCATACCATACTCAACAAAATGCCCTTTGAATAGTTGAAATTTCTGTTATGCACTTTTAAGTATTCTGTAATATAGAAGTCCAAAAAAATTCCTTAAAAAAAAAAAAAAAAAAAAGAAGTCCAAAAAAAATTAAAATAATGTTTGGTATTTCTTTAAAAAATATATATATTTTCCCTTTTAATGGGTTTAGATTGAAAGGAGAGAAATGATATCTTCTATCTAAAACGACATCAAAGTACTTAATTGGAGGATATTTCTTAAAGCACAAGATGCTTATTTTATATTATCGAAACACATAGGTACCAATTAACTATAGAGGTGATTAGGCATTAACTAATTTGACAAAATTTTGGATATCACATGGATTTTACCTATTATAATGTATCACCAAAAATATTTCCAAATCATATTTGTTTTGCCATATGATTAGACTGAACCTGTACATTTTGAAAAAAAAACAAAAACAAAAACAAAACAAAAAACTGTCAATGAATTGGAAATTGCTTTCCAACTTCCAAGTTGTTCCAAAGTCATTATCCTGAGAAACTTACGTGTGCTTGGTACCATATATTGGGAATCTAACAAAAACCATGTTTCCATCTCCTCAGAAATGAATAGAGAGATATCAAAGTTCCATATGGGTAGTTTTGGTATGGACAAAAAGGCCGAAGAAGAATCAAAGGGCGCCACTTGATTGTGGTTATCAATTCTGTGACCTCACGCTTCCTGAGGATAAAATCTCGTTGAAATTAAGCACTCCAATTGTGTAAAAATAAATATATTTCTGATTTTTTTAATGGTTTTAGATAATTGGAATTTGACATAGTCATCAATAAGCTAGCTATCAATTCAAGCCCCAATTTAGTATTGTTATTGCTTTTAAGATAAGCAAGAGCACGCTAGTTACTGCTCTCATTGGCTATAGACTATATTTTATAGAAAAATGCTGTTGTAGATGTTGTTGTGTGCATATATATATATATATATATATATAGTGAAACAAGAAGCTCTGTGGAACTAGCTAGACCAAAACCGTAATTGTACTTGAACAATCATTGAACCACACATTTACTTTTACAATATGGACCACACACTGTGTTCAAAAAGCAACCCGTGTTTTAACTTCTTCTGCCACATGACATCTTTCATATCTCCTTTCGTACTATTCCCATATATATATATATATATATACACATTCGAGTTTTGATAAGTAATTACCATCAAATAAAAAAAAATTATGACGAATACAATCTCATTTATTGTTATAAATATTTTTTAGCCCATTATTCATTTTATTATAATCTTCAAGTCAATATCTTGTCATTAAAATAATAATATTTATTAATGGTTAAATATTAAAAATTATGATATTTAATGATAAGAATACAATCTTATTTATTATTATAAATATTTTTTAGCCCATTATTCATTTTATTATAATCTTCAAGTCAATATCTTATCATTAAAATAATAATATCTATTAATGATTAAATATTAAAATAACCATTATAATATATATATATATATCACTATAAATGGGCGTCGACTTGTTCTCATTTGAGCCCTTACCTCTTTCTTGCAAAACATGGCTTCCAATGGTGGTCTCACAGTCTCAACTCCGTCCCCGAAGAGCGGCAGTGGAGAAGCACCGGCGGCTAATTCCCCTAAAGGCCAATATTGCTTGTGCTCGCCGACGTCGCACCAAGGCTCATTCCGGTGCCGGTTTCACCGATCACTGGCGACGATGAAGCGTTCCAACTCCATGCCTGCCAATAAGTCCGTGGCTTCTCTCTCTCCCAAGTCAGTTGAGTCCACTTGACGAATCTATGGGCATGTTTTGTTTGACACAATAAGAGTTTGGGTGGTATGTACGTAGTCTTCATTTTATTTTAATAAACTTAATTTTGCTCAATTGTGAAAAAACAAGTAAAGGTGTGGTGGGTTTTAACTAATTTTAAGCTCTCTTTACTTGGATTATGGATATACAGTACTTGTGATGTTGTACCCGTTTTAACTGTACTTCATGTTGTGACGAGATATATATACATATATCTATATAGCTTGTTATATATCCTTTCCTGTCTAATTAATGTTCTGTGGGCTATGTATGTCTCTTTCTCCCTCTCTCAAAATAGCTATTACTATGCTTTCGAAACATATATTTCTAGAATATACATATATATATATATGTATATCTACATAAATACATATTTAAATATCTTACTAGCTTATTATATATATATATATATATATGTTTAGGAAACAGTGGATTGATATTAGCTTATTATATTGGTAACATTCAGTCATTTTTACTTCTTGGATTTCTCTCTCTCAAATCAAACGATGAGATTAGCACCTATCAAAGTATTTATTATGGTATAAGTTCCGAATTCAATCCAATTAAGAACCAAAAGATTCTCTATAAAACTGAAATAGCTAGTTCAGTTTTGAAGCACAAGACCATCACTTAACTCAAAATTGTATTCCTCGGCCATTTTCATCCACTCGATGGATCGTTGCATGAGGAGTATTTGTGGAAAAATATCCATTATCAAGTTGTTTTTACTTTTATTTTTAGTTTTTCTGGACAATAATTGTTATAGCTGGGATGAGTTTTGAAAGGACTTCGTTAGTTTAGTCTTTTCTTTCATTGATTGTAACAGTTTTCAGATTTTTATTTCTATTTTATTTTTTGCTTTCATTTTCAGATTTTTTTTTTTGGAGTAATCACCAAATGGGAAAAGGTAATGCCCCAAACAACGTCAATCTCGCAATATAAACAGAATATTTTATATGAGACGCGGTGGTTACGTACGTGCCCATTGAAAATATATTTATGAGTAAAGTTTGAAATACCAACTCAATTTTTGTGTACTAATTGATATGGTACGTGAGTTATTTTTTTTATTAATAAATATAATTTTTTTATTAATTAACGTGATAATATTTTAAACACCTATTAATAAAAAAATAACAATTTATATGTCACATCAGTTAGTACACTATAGTTGATATTTAAATTAATATCCCTAACATTATTCTATATTTATATATTTAATTTATGTGTTTTGTTTTCTGATATGTATATACTTGTCCTTTTCTTCTCTTTTTTTTTTTTTGTTTCAAATGAAATCTTGAATTTCTTTACTTAGACAAAAAAATTTCTGACTTTTCTTATATTTATCTTTATCTTCTGATAAAAGATTTTGAATGGATATTGATCATCTCATAATCATAACTTTGAATTTAGGACCATCAAAACAATTATGAGCTACCGTTTCGTGTGGAAGTGGTTATCAAATAGTTCAGCTGCGATAATTCCCGAAACCGTATCGCGAATGGATAAGTTGTGCATTTTATATTGGAACTGTTGAACTTCTAATATTAGAGTAACGTAAATTACAATAAATTTATGAATTTTAATAGAAATACGATTACTTATACATTTAAATTGATATATTTGCCAGTTGTGAAATTAAGAGTGCGTTTGGTTTAAAGATTCATGTCATGATTCGTGACTCGTTACAGTATTATTTTTTTTATAAAAAATATACATAAATTGAAAATAATTCTGAATTCATCAATCAAACGTCCTCTAAATGTTAAAGTTTAAAAATTTTAATAGACCAGTACAGATGTTGTGAAGTCACCGTAGAAAAACTCCATTGTTCAACTTTTTTTTTTTTTGTTGGCAGCGTGTTGTATTTCCTAATAATTATTTGAAAGAATTGGACAACATATATATTTGGTCTATATTATGAGTGTGTCATGAATCGTGTAAAAGTATCTCCATTACAATACTAAATTAATTTGGTAATGCTCAATTTTAGCATTTAAATAAAAAAATTACTCTCTCAATATAATGTTATTTTTTATTTATCATGTGTTATACTTACTGATAAATTTAATATCAAATATAACATATGACAACTTTAATATTTAGTTGTTATTAGTTGATATATTTGTTTTTTTATACAATCATTACAACATTTGTATTTTTATTATGTTTAAATTAAAAGTTTAATTTTACAACTATCAAAGCTTAATAACTATAACAAAAGATAAATTTAGTATTTTAAATAGTCCTATACATGAGTACAAATAAAAATAACATATTAAATACGCCATTTTCATACTTTTTAATGTCAAATATGCTCTTAACATAAATATTTATATTGAAAATGATTAGATTAGTCATGTTAATCCTATTCCTCTCTCATTTTATATCCCTCATATAATATCATGTTAAGTTAATTAAAATTTCATATCAATTAAAATAATTTAAAATTAACGTAATAATATTTTATTGGGTACTCAAAAGTGGACAGGATAAAAAGACATGTAAGCTCAATCCAAATTTTCACACTTCCAATAAACTTATAAGTAGGGGTGTAAGAAATCACCCCGAACCGGATTAACCCGGCCTACCCGACCCTACCCTATTCGAAAATACAGGGTATTCTTTTTTTATTAATTTTTTCAGTTTCAAAATAGCCCAACCTGCACTGTGCGGGTAGGGTCGCGGGTTGGGCTTTATTTGACCTGTTAAACCCTACCCGGCCAACCATGATATTGGTCCTAATGTTAAAAAAAAAAAAAGAAAAAAAAAAACAACCCTACAGCCCTACTTTCTTATTTCTTCCTTAGTTTCTTTCTTTCTCGACCCCTTTGTCCCCTTTGTCTTTGCGCTGCTCTCTCAAGTCTCTGACTCTGAGACTGAGTCTCTCGATTTTGGCCATTTCTTCTTCTTCTTCTCACTTCCTCCGCCGTTCCTCCTCCGCATCTCACCGCCTTTCCTTCAGACCCTCTTTTCTCTTGTCTCGTCGGCTTGGGCTGTGCAATGGGAAGGCATGCTCGCGACAAGGGTGGATTTGAAGGGGTTGGTAGGATTTTATTTTTTTCCCTCTTTTCTCCTTTGAATTGCCCTGACAAGATTGGGTTGGCTGTGATTTGTGCAAGGTAAGTGTTTGGGTTGGTTGTGATTTGTGATTTGGTCGTGTTTGCAAGGTAAGTATTGGTTGTGATCTTCTGGATGTGCTTTTTGGTACGAGCATTCGTAGAGGTAAACCCATAGACTAGAAGCAAATTTGCTTTTAGTTTATCTAGGTACACGAGAGTCTTGAAATGAGAGTTGGTTTTACATGATATTTTGGATAAGAAGCATAATTCTCAATGGAATGAGAAGCAATTTTTTTTTTCAGATGTTTTTTCTCAAGTATAACTGATTTAAGAAGTAAAATGTTTATAAATTTTTTTTCAATTTTTAAAAAAACTAATGGTTTACCTAAAGTAACCCGGCCGACCCGAGATAACCGGATGATGTACAGGTTCTAAGAACAAGTAGCTTGTTGCGGCCCACTTTTATCTCAACCCGATTATTACGGGCCGGCCCAACTCTTTATTAAAACCCTACCCTACCCAGCTTAATTTCACCCCTACTTAGCACTTAAGTTCAGTCAAACGGATGTTATTTTAATATTAGTAAATATCAGGGCTATCATTGATTAGCAAAAAAAATATCAGGGCTATCATTGTAATATTTTCAAAATAAAAAAAAAAAAACAAATCTTACAATCCAATACAGTGGAGCGTCCCACAACCTGACCACCATTACCAAAATGACCTCCAAAAACGACTTCGTTCTGTACTCTCCTCTCCCGCCCAACCCCACCGCCACCGCCTACCACCAAAACGTCGTCGTCCTCCCCTACTACCGCCCCTCTCCCTCCAAACGCAGATCCCGCCGTCTCTGCCGCTGCCTCCTCGCCTCCGCCGCCGTCCTCCTCCTCATCGCCGCCGTCTTCATCCTCTACCCCTCCGATCCCTCCCTGCAACTCGTCCGAGTGCACCTCAACCGCGTCCGAGTCAACTCGTCCCCCGATCTCACCCTCGACCTCTCCTTCTTCCTCACCGTCAAGGTCTTCAACAGAGACTTCTTCTCTCTCGACTATGACTCGCTCGCCGTCTCCGTCGGCTACCGCGGGAGAGAGCTAGGGTTTGTGAACTCCGACGGAGGTAAAATTAGGGCGAGAGGGTCGTCGTATGTCGATGCAACGCTCGATCTCAATGGATTCGCGATCATTCAAGATGTTTTTTACTTGCTTGAAGATTTGGCCAGAGGAGTTATTCCCTTCGACACTGTCACGAAGGTTGAAGGGAATTTAGGGCTCTTTCTCTTCAAAATTCCTCTCAAGGTAAATCTTTCTTCTTATTCCCCTTTTTTTTTTTTGAAGAAATTTTAGGAAAAAGATAAAAGTTGCGAACTTCTATCAAATTATGAAAACTTGACAGTTTCTGTGTTGGTTTTTTTTTTTTTTTTTTTTTTTTTTATT